AACTGGACATACTCGCAAGGCTTTGGAAAACAATGATAAAATCAAATAATGTCAAACATTAGTGTAAATACTTGTTTATAAGCTTTATTGTGTCATTAATTTAAAGAAAAATGTTCTCCCATGAAGAAAAGTGTGATATGTTAGAATGCTATTTAGTGTGCAGAAAATCCTCCTTGAGAGCAAGAGAATACTACAGTGAATTATATCCCGCTCGCATTCAACCGTATGAACGATATTTTCTGAGACTTTATCGAAAATTTAGGGGCACCGAAAATGTTTTTGCTAAAACAAGGGCAAAAAAAGAATTCATAATAAGCGAGGCCACGGAAATTGCAGTTATTGGATATTTTGAAGCTTATCGTGAGAATTCAATAGCAGATATTCTCAAGGACTCTAATTTCAGTTATGGTACTGTTCAAAGGATTTTAAAAAAATACAAATTTATTCCGTATAAGTACCGACCAGTTCAAACGCTTTTGGCAGGGGATCCAGAGAGAAGACTTGTTTTTTGCCATTGGTATCTTAGCTTCTGTCGCCAAAATGTAAATAACTTTCGTTACCTTTTATGGACAGATGAATCAAATTTTTCAAATTCTGGAATGTTTAATAGAAAAAACCACCATTATTGGTCAAGAGAAAATCTTTTGTTAGTACATCCAAGAGGCCCACAAGTCCGTTTCAGTTTCAACATTTGGTGCGGCATAATTGGTTCAACAATTGTTGGCCCGTTCTTTTATGAGGGAACCCTAACTGGTGAAAGATATGTGGAATTTATGTCAGAAATTCTGACTAATTTCTTAGACGAATTGGATCTTATAAGTAGACATCATCTGCATTTTCAGCAAGATGGCGCACCTGCCCACAACTCCAGAGGTACTTATCATTTTCTAAGTACTACTTTTAATGATCAGTGGATAGGAACAAATGGCCCAATACAGTGGCCTCCCAGATCACCAGATCTAAACCCACTTGATTACTTCTTGTGGGGTTACTTAAAGAACCAAATTTACAAGCGAAGGTACGATAATCTTGACGCGTTAAAGACTGCAGTTAGGGAAAAGATAACCCAGATAGATGGTAGGACCATACTGAAGACAGTTCGAGCAGTTGAAAATCGTGCCCAAAAATGTATTGAAGAACAAGGTGGTGTTTTCGAGCATCTTCTTTAAAAAAAATTGTTATTGTATTTTGTAAGATTATAAGTTGATGTTGAAAATAAAGTTTGTCGATACAATTTAATTGTTTCAGATTGGAGGCCATAACTTCAACAATTTGTAACCTAGGAGAAAAGTTATTGTAAGCTTTTTTGTTTAAAATTTGATGCTTTAACAGAAAAAAATATAATATACAGGGGTTTCCATTTAAAAAAATGTTATTTTACTGAAAAAAATCAAAATAACGGCTCTCAATTGTTTTTTTTATTTCTCATTTTTACCAGCGTTAAAAATGCTACTAGTTTGCTAATTCAAACAACTTTGTATTTTCACTAATAACAAAGTTACTAATGGTGGACACTTAATTTGGATAACCCTGTATATATATACTTTGAAGTTGAGTCATTAATTTTCAGATAATGATTGTAGAAGGATGATAAACCAAAATATGTGTGTAAGAATAAAAAAAAAATAAAAAAAAATCTTACCTTGTTTTATAAAGTATCCTTCCAACAAGTATTTCAGTGCGGACCTGTATTTGATCGTGAGGTCTTGGAGCACCGGCATGCCCTCCCCTGTGAGGTCTTAAGTCACCTGATTCACGAGCCCGTTGTACTACATTAACAAAGGCACGAGGGGTTGGTTGCACTCGATTGGGAAACCGATCCGCATAAACATGTGCCATTTTTTATTTCGTTTGAGCCTCGCAGCAAACACCACTATTCACTCACGCGTTACCGACTGACACATTGACTGAATAAAAACATCGTGATCAGCGTTTCAAATTATTTCGCTTTTTTGTTTCCGATTCGATGAACCGATAAGGTGGATTATATCCGTTGTTGCGAAACACGAGCACATAATATTATTATTGAGACAGGGCGGTACTCAAACCTCTAAAGGGCTATAACTTTGTTACTTTAATTTTACCACAAAAATGTTAAAGGAAAAAAACATTTATTTTGATCAGATCTGCTCACTGTTAAAATAAATGACTCAACTTCGAAGTCACCCTGTATATTACTTATGTATTAGTAGTCAGTATTTTAGACTTCCAACGAAAGGCTCAGTTTCCAGACCTCCTTATCACCACGCCATGGGCTATCGATTCAAAATATACCCATTCAATTTCACCAAAAGTTATATCCAACTGCTTGTGTGCCAGGCCTATGAATCACATCATTTATAAATGCTTTTGTTACTTGTCACCCGGTAACAGGTTATGAACTCCAATTATTTCCTGCTCGTCTGGAAGTATTCCTAACAGCTTATTCGCTTCAGCATCGCGTGCTGCGGTTTCACTAATTTCCGTTTTGCGGTACCGGCGGATTCCATTTCACCCAATTTCACACCTGTTTTACATTCCTGCATTTTCTATATGTTTTCGAAGATTTTTTATAGACCGGTATGTCTAAAAGTCATTTAAAAGTATCGACTTTTTTTAAGTATGGACTATCTGTAGCTGAGCCATCTAAGGGTGAGCAAGTGTTTCGTGGCAGCGCATAGCTGAGCGAGTTTCTGTGCCCTCGGTGGCGCAGATCATCTGTTGTCCTATTCCAGGATATATTTCCTCGGAGGAAAAGCTTATATGAACATAATGTCCGCGATGACTCATTTCTTACTACAGGGCGTTGATTTTTTTAGAAAAAATCGTTTCCTATTATAGTGCTTTATTCAAACTTTTACTTATATTTGACTTTAACATATTATGAGATAGTTTGGTATAAAAAGTTATTTTATTGCGAAACCAGTGGCGTTCCTGTATTCTCCAGATTAAAATTTCTTTTTAAAATGTTTTATATTTCAACAGAGTCAAAAGAAGCAGCTACCATATAGTCGTTCTAGACTAAAACGGTGCATTTGGGGAGAAATAGAAAGAGATGGTTTTTATTCAGTAAAGAGAAATTACAAGATATGTTTGCAGACATGCCAGTACCTTTTTATAACACATTATAACATGCCCAAAAGGGAAATAATATTTGAAGTACACCCTGTAACTAAAAATTTAAGCATTTGCCGAACACCCAGTTTAAATGGTTTTATTTTAATAAAATTTTGTATAAGTACTTAATGAAGCATAATAAGTAAATGATAAAAATTTCAAAATGATTGCACTGCTTTAAAGCTCTTTGACCTTTAATAATGTGTGGATGCACCCTGATGTGCTACGCATTCTCCAACGCGCCTAGGCATGCTTCTGATCAGGTGGTCAATGTCCTCCTGTGGTATCTCATTCCAGGCAACCACCAACTCCTCTCGAAGTGCTTCTAGAGTCTGAGGAGGACGTTGCAAATTGAGCAATCTCCTACCCATCATATCCCACACGTGCTCAATTGGGAACAAGTCGGGAGATCTTGGTGGCCATGGTAACAATGTGACATCATTATGTTGAAAGAAGTCTATTGTGACTCTTGCAACATGTGGTCGGGCATTATCTTGTTGGAAAGTTGGATCTGTCAGGGTGAAAAGATAGGGTAAAAGATGGGGTTCTAGAACTTCGTGGATATAACGCTGCGCGTTCATGTTACCTCTGATGAAGATTAAAGGTGACCTGGAACCATAAGCTATAGCATCCCAAACCATAACTCCAACAGTGTGATGAACATGTCTTTCAACAAAAGACTGTGGATTCCTCCTTTCACCACGTCGCCTTCTAACCCTGGCACGACCATCGTGCATGCCTAAACAAAATCGAGACTCATCACTAAAGACAATACTGTTCCATTCCTGATCCCAGAGTGACCGTTGTCTGCACCACTCAAGGCGATTACGTCGGTGTTCTAGAGTTAAAGGGAGGACCCAGTGTGGCCGGTATGAAAACAAGCCAAAACTTCTCATTCGTCGGTAAACCCTTCGCATGCCAATAGGTCTTCCGTGTTCTGCAAACCATTCATTTGCAATGGACCTGGTAGTGGAGAAACGGTCCCTTAAGGCCAATAATTTTAGGCGAAGATCTTCACAGTCTGTTGTTCTACGGCGGCGTCCAGTGCCCCTTGCTCTTTGCGTACGGCCTTCTCGAAGCCATGCCTGACAACACCTAACCACAGTGTCTACACTTCTTTGCTCTCTAACTGCAATTGCCCGAAAAGAAAGTCCAGCTTCCCGAAGTCCCACTATACGGCCCCTATCAAACTCACTATGTTGACGAAATCGTACAGGTCTCCGTACTCTAGGCATCGTAACCGATCGTAAAGGATGTCAAGAACCAAAATCCGCCAACGTTGATTCTTTACTGCGGCTGAAATATTCATTTTTAGAGCGTTAGTGAATTAAAAAAAAAACAGTATAAAAACCGGAATGTCCAACTGATAAGGCACTTGTTATTTACAGTAAGATAAATACATTCACCAACTTTTATTAAAATAAAACCATTTAAACTGGGTGTTCGGATTTATATGTCACTTAGTATATATTTATGAAAGCTTTTCTTCATAGAATTAATTATTACTATTAACACATCTGTAAGAAAAATAGTGTCTTTGTTGCTATGAAGAAGTATTTGAGGTTAACTGTGTTGTAAATGTACATCAACTTAAAAGTGCCAGCGATTTGAAATAAGAGAAACCGCGACATTGTAAACAGCATTTGTCTTTTGATTCTTCAACACACCATGGGCATTGAATCTCTCAAAATAAAAGCAAAAAAATGTCATCTTCCCTATTGCAGGACCTAAAAGCCGTGTCGTAAGTCATTCCTAAAATTGTACCACGCGTTATAGTACAGAAGATTTACCTTTACCACTAAAGAAGAGGATCGAGTTTCCTTGGATCAGCACTTTGCCTTATCCAGTCTTATTTTATTGTATTCACAGTTAGTTAGTCTGTTGTTAGCGCTCATATTATATACATCAATAGAATTGTATTTTGATAATCGAAAATAAATCTTTTTAAAAAGCAAGTAGTCTGAGTCGGTCAGATAACTGGCGCAGCCAGTAGGATAGTTCGCTAGCAGTGCTGGCGTTAAGTGAAATTACCTCTGGTGCTAGGTTTTGTGGTCTATGAATGAGGTGGTTCTACGTGATCAGATTCAGGATTATCTTGTGTATGATACTCGCAATATTGATCAGTGAAATACGTATCTGAATTTTGTGGTTCAGCTACAGTTTGATCGCAAACAAAATATTCGTTACCAGGAACTTCATAGGTGTTATTACTTTCTGCCTCTGTATCGAATAGCTCTTCAGCGATCCAATTTGGGTTTGGTTGTTGCTGGGCTGTCGAATTATGTTCAGGTTTGAGAGAAATTCTAGTAGAAGTACTCATTGTAGTAGTTTGTGGCAAAGTAGGGTTAGGGTTAGGTTTGAAAACATTTCTGTTATTCTGTGTTTGTCTAAAAACCTGAGAATTCGTCGGAAATCTCCGAGGGCGATAAACTGGCCTTGGCAAGTTTGCAGGTCCAGTCGGAAAAGTCGAATTGAATCTAGGTTGAAATGCTGAAGTGTTCAGCTGACTGAATTAATAATTAGTAATTGGCCTTTGCATTAGCCTGGAAGTTTGATTCTATGGCACATTTTGTGATTTTCCAAAATTTTTGTTATAATTTTGGAAGTAGCTGACATTGTCTTCAGATATAACGAATTGTAAAGCTTGGCTGAGAGATGTGGGTTTCATACATCTAATTGTTGTACCCAAGGGCTATCGTAGTCCGCACAAAATTCTTGATATAAATTTCTTTTTAACACTTTTGCTTCTTCATAATGTTCATGTACGTTTACATGGCTGCATAGCAGATTCAAAATATGAAGACACTTATCATACAATTTTTGAGGCGTTTCATTTGGCATTTGCCTCAACATAACCAAATCACGGGTTAGACAAGTTTCATCTCTTTGATCAGAAAAATTCCTAGTCAGAATGCCTTTTAAATCTGCCCAACTTGTGATATTTTGGATATTCACAAGCACTTTAGCATTTCCTTTTAATTTCGAGATCAGTGAATTTAGCAAATAGATATTTTGGAAATTATGTGGGTTCCGTATATCATAAAAATTTGCAATTAACGTTTCACTCACTGATAGAAACCGATTTAAGTCATTAGGATTTCCGTCAAACTGTGGGATGCTATTTAAAAATTCTGGTCTGAATTGAGACATGCTTGGAATATTTTCAATATTTAATCCAATTGGTCTTAAAATAGGTGAGTCTGTCGAAAGTGTCAAATTATCTATAGCTATATATAAGTAATAACACCTATGAAGTTCCTGGTAACGAATCTTTTGTTTGCGATCAAACTGTTGCTGAACCACAAAATTCAGATACAATATTTCACTGATCAATATTGCGTGTATTATACAAGATAATCCTGAAACTGATCACGTGGAACCACGTCAAAATTTTCAGGACTCATTCATAGAGCACAAAACCTAGCACCAGAGGTAATTTCACTTAACGCCAGCAATGATAGCGAACTATCCTACTGGCTGCGCCAATTATGTGACCGAGTCAGTCTACTTGCTTTTTAAAAAGATTTATTTTCGATTATCAAAATGCAATTCTATTGATGTATATAGTATGAGCGCTAACAACAGACTAACTAACTGTGAATACAATAAAATAAGACTGGATAAGGCAAAGTGCTGATCCAGGGAAACTCGATCCTCTTCTTTAGTGGTAGAGGTCAATCTTCTGTACTGTAACGCACGTCTTTATGGCCGCCTTGATTTCCATGGTTTTTTTCTGTCCTATATTTCTAGATTTCAACTGTTCCGGGTCATCGCTTTAATTTAAGGTTATATTACAAATACCTATTCGCACCAAATTGTCTGTGCTTTTGATTTTTATCATCTGTTCCATCAGCCTGAAATTTCCATCATTTCAAAAAAAAAGCATAACCTCACAAAAACAGTGAACATCTAGAAATACTCTAGCCTTTCTAGAGGAGAGAAAAGATTATGTAAATCAAGGAGGCCATAAAGGCATCCCACAATTGTATTGGGGTATTTGTAGATTTCTACTGTTCTGTGTCAGTCTCATCGCTCTCCTATTGTGAGGCTACGCTTTCTTTTTGAACTGTAGGAAATTTCAGGCTGATGTAAATCAAAAGCATGAACAATTTGATGCAAATGATAAATTACAATTATTTTAGGAACGACTGACGATACGGCCCTCAGATCACATACGTACAAGTATCCGGCAAGTTGCTAAAACAAAGTTTGGGCTTGTCACACATACACTAAGCAGCGTCGTATGCACCTAGTACTGTATTTGTATTCAATTTAATTGGATATCGATTACGTATAAAACAAAATGCCGGAATAAAATGTAACTAGTCGTTTCGGTGTAGCTCATTTACTAAAAATGACATATAATTAGCGATTTCCATATAAATTAGAGAGGATCAATGTGCGAGTGTCGATATGTCGCTATGTCATATTTATTTTGCCGTCATGACGTCAGTCCATTAACGCTGGCCACACTGACTGCGGTGCGTTTCCAATATTTCAAGTTGCAGGCGCTTATATCGGGCGCTTATTGCAACAAAAGTTGCTCTCTCACATGAAAAGGGTCAAGAATATATCATTATCTGATTTAGTTTAGTCAATCCTCAAGGTAATATTTTTCATTGAATATGGGTGTGACTTCCTTAGTCAAACCAGTTTCCATTTCCTTCTAGGTTGTTACGAATCAGTTAGTGTAGCATTTGAAATGACAAATTATTGGTTAATTTTTGAATTAAATAACTACCTTTATATACAGGGTGTCCGCAAAGTTGGGGTTTTCCTTTACACGACGGCGACGTGTAGATTTTGAAAACATAAGCAATTCTTCCTAGTACCATATACACCAATGTCTTAAGGGAACCGAGATAAAGGGCTCTGCAACATCAAAAATATCTGAATACCGTCCTGTAGCCGCGACCCGCGACATCACCGAGTGGTACAAGGTCACTGGCTCAACCCGACGACGGAACTGGGTCGGGGTCAGTGTGTCAGGTCAGTATGCAACCTTCAATCGACGGTTACAGTCACGCGTGTAGAGGTAACCGCGTAGACGAGAATCCCTCAGCAAGCACTAGCGACGTGGCTAGAGAAGTGCAAGTATCAAAAACTAAAGTGTGGCAAACGCTGCGTGAAGAGGGGCTGTATCCGTTTCACGTCCAACGTGTACAAGCCCTTCAACCTGACGATTTTCCAGCAGAAGTGCATATTGGTGACAGACGAATCTACGTTCACGCGTAATGGGGTGAATAACTTTCGCAACACTCATGTTTGGTCAGTAGAAAATCCGCACGCTGTCCGTCGAGCACATTTTCAACAAACATTTTCGGTGAATGTTTGGGCTGGCATGGTGAACGGTATGCTCATTGGACCATTTATTCTCCCAAATCGATTGGACGGGATGCAATACCTAGACTTTTTACGCAACATTTTGCCTTCCTTGTTAGAAGATGTGCCATTAAGTGTAAGACAATCAATGTGGTTTCTGCACGATGGTGCACCGCCCCATTTTAGACGCGAAGTGCGTGAGTTTTTGAATGAATTATTTCCGAATAGGTGGATCGGACGTAATGGACCCGTAGCGTGGCCTCCGCGATCTCCAGACTTAACACCATGTGATTTTTTTCTTTGGGGAGAAATGAAACGCTTAGTGTACAAAACTGAAGTGCATACGGTTGACAAACTTCGTCTCAGAATTGAACAGGCTGGTGCTTTCATTCGGGGGAGGGACTCCATTCTCAAAGCTACGTCCTGCACGCACCTGTGTTTTTGAATCAAACGGCGATAACTTCGAACAATACCTATAAAGTACGTTTACCTAAAAACTGAAAACGCGGCAACGCCGTCATATTTGTTACCTCTGTTCGTGGTCTGCACCACCCCCTGCGTCTGCTCGGTAGCGCATCAGCTGATTTCATTTTCTGTTGGAGCGGTATGATTTCGGGCATAGACGTACTTAGCCCTTCTCGTCAACTGGAGAGTGAGTACTTTTTCCTTTATTTTTTTTACTTGGTCGCCCTCATTTCACTACACATTACCTTTATTATTTCAAGGGTAGTTGTTTCTGAAAAGGAAAACCCCAACTTTGCGGACACCCTGAATAATTCAGATTATCGGGATCGTATCCTAAACATTCACATCCATCGCACACGAACCTCGCTTATCTATAACTAGACTTCAAACGGTGAACAATAAACTGTCAGACGCGAGGATGGATTAAAACCAACACATCAGTGAGTTCATAATATTAAATTTTACCTATCAGTTGAGATAGCAGCTGTGCGAATAAATGCGCGAAGTTAACAAAGCAACAATTGAAAGATTACCATTGGGTAACATCACCTTTATTTTTTATTACGGCTGAAATTCTTTGGGTCATAGTGTTAACCAAGTTTTGGCAAAAATTTGGTGTAAAACAGTCCCATATTTGTGGCCTCTCTTTGAGCTGTGGACCTCGAAATTCTCCTTCCAACAGCGTCACTCCACAGAGCACTTAATCGTAAATAATTGGCACGCCTGTTTTTCACGATTATTCTTCTTAATGCTCTTCGGTCGGCATTTGTGATATTACTTTTTTTCACATATCGTTGCTTAATATTAACTGAACCATTCACGTTATATCTTCTAATAATATTTCTCACACTGTACTGCGATAAGTCTAACAAAGTTGCAATTTCTGAGTTTGATTTCCCAGAATTAAAAAATTCAATTATCAGTAACCGAATTTTCTCACTAATAACCTTTCCTATTTGAGATGATCTTGGATTCTTCATTCTTTCCAATTAATGCTGATGGATTTTCTGTATTTTTAAAAACGTAGCTGTCTCTTTATTTATGCGTCCTAAGCGAGGGAGGGGGAAGCGCATCTCCAAAATTCAGGTAATTTTAGTGGATAAAAATAAAACACGCTACTCGTTGCTCAAGAAAGTACCACCCTATTAATATTATTTACTTCCAAAGGGCGCCTATGTTAGTAAGCACAAGCATCCACTCAGTTCGAAGTACTGAAATCATAGGCTCATGACGCTCATAAATAAAGAACAAACCCCATATCCATTCATCCATTATCCTATTATCATCCAGCGCTGAAATAAATCTGAACAAACACTGAAATTTTCATGAAATTTATAACAGGGCTCAAGACGTGAAGCCCGGTCGGCTCATTATACTCTCAAATGCGCATTTTTGAATTATGTACCACTTTAATAAAGCTTTGTTTTAAAACACGGCGAATACTAATTTTCAAATATTTTTTCGACGATTGTACTTAAAAGCCTCATTAATTATTGGGCGGGATGGCTGCGATTTTTTATCGCGGTGCCCCGGCTGAATTATTCTGGAATCTTAAATGCCCCTCTCGACTGCGCTCACTACAAATGGAAGTAGCTGAATTTTCGCTGGAATTGTTTATTTAGCACCCCAGAAAAACGAATTAATGTATGTAAAATTTCAAGCTAATTTTATCACCCAGAGGTAATCTAAATGCAACCAATAGGATGGAAAATTTGTTCCAATTTCAAACTCTCTAAA